CTCTACCTTGTGCGCAATTTCTGGCAAACGTTGACGCTGGGTCACCCATCCTGTGGGACACACGGTTCAAAATACTGGAAGACATCGAAGTCGAAAAGCCGTGGAAATTGATGAAAAGTCGAATTTCGAATTGTTTTAAAAGCTAAATTTCGGCACCAAAAATCCAGTTTTACATTTTTTAAAAACTGTATTTTCAATTTACCTAGACACATTTCCCAATAAAAATGGAAGGCCATACTAATCGATAGAGAACTCGATTCTCTGCAAGATGGTATGTTTCTCTTGACGTTTAGACTCAAAAGAAGCTTTTGAATAAAGGTTTAAGTTTTAAGATTCTCACACAATTCTAAGAAAGTGAAAACATTAAAAAATATAAAAATTCATTCTTCGCCCGATGTATCACCACAGTCGAATTCAGTTAATAATGTAGAAAACTGACAAATTACAGTATAGCAAAATTAAATATTATAATTTCTCTTTTCGCTACAGTTTCAACTATACTTGCATACTCTCTACTATTTCAACCAGAATCAAATCAAACAGTAGCTCATTTAAATATTTTTCAACAATTAAAACTGGTACGTTTGAGACCGATATTTAAAATTATACAAGTATTCACAACTGAACGAAAATCAAATAAGCGTAAAATGCTATGCTACAACTAGAACAAAATTTTCAGCTAGAATTCATATGTTTTATTAGTAATGCTTCATTTCTAAGATTTTGTTTAATAGCTTTGAAGAAAGCATAATGAGGAATGCTAATCATCTAGAAAAGGAGAGACAAACGTGTTTAGCATGAAAAACTGCTGATGTATAACTACGAGTAATCTACGAGGAAAAAATATCCGCCATAGCTGATGACTTGAGTAAACTTTTACGTGCACAGACCCTAAAGCAGCTGTAGTTTGATTATTAAATATGTTGTATTTTGTTCTATGTTGGTTGACTCGTATGCGGTTTTTTTTAAAATATATAATTTTTCACATTTCCGCCTCCTTGCCACACTGGTTTTCATAGACGCTTGACGTTGGAGATAAAAACATTAAGTTATGATCTAGATGTACAAATTTTTCGAGGTCTGTCGAACTGAATATTAATGGGTACTATGATTTTTGTTGAAGAGAGAATAGCTCAGACTTCACAAATGCGCGGTAATGCCAGAGACAAGGCTATCTGTTCCACAAAAACCACCAATATATGTGTTTACACATAAGGATAACAGCAAACATTCGTTCTAAGTTTATTTTAGTGGCCTCGATTACGTCTAAACTCGGCCAAAAGTAAACATTCATTTTTCTTTACAGCATAAAGTGAAAAGTGCAACCGTTAATATGACGAAACATAACTTACCTTGTCCATCATTTTAATATAGGAAAATTTCATTGTATCACCTGGTGATTGGTCATATAAATGACAAGTTAATATGCAAATTGTTTAGTCCGTATCAATATCATTTTGTATTTCAAATAAAGTCGCATTAAACTTACCGTTTCATAGTACATTTGCTGATCCACCACCAATTATTCCAACCGAAGATATTTATTTTATTATTATTATTACTTAAAACGTCAAATAAAATAATAATTCTAAAGGATACAAAGACATACTGTCAATTCAAAAGTAAAACAAATATTTACCTTTTTGTAGGAGAAAGGGTTTCCTTATAGAGAGACCATTTATATTTTAATCATATTTTGTTTTTCGTTGAAAGTTTCGGAGGTATATATATGTGAAATTTGTTGGGAAACAAATTCATCTAGTAGGTTAAAATATTGAAATTAAACAGAAATAGAAACTAAATTTAACACATGCTTCATTTTGTTAAACACCATTCAGTTGCAAATAATGCACAATAATGATTTCAATTATTCAATTTTGGTTTTAGTGACCGATGAAAATAGAGCTCCCTTTGGCTTCTTTCCTTGGTGTCACAATTAAAATGCATTGAATACACAGAGCAGATCCCATAACTCCTTTTTCATATGTTTATAGATTTTTTCTGTTTTCTTCAAATATATGTTAACTTTTCATACATAAGTAGCTAGGCCTGAAGTGCTCTGGAACGCTACTTACACTCATGCTGCTTAATCCTTACAGATACCATCTCACAACTAATAGGAATCATCAGAACTTCTCAAAGTTTTTAATCTTTTCATTTGGCGAGATTTCCTCGTAAGTTGATTAAAAGAAACGGCAACCTTCAGAACATTTAAGCACCATGTTTCATCGGCTTGACCATTAGGGCGATAGTTCTCTCATGTAATATGCCTATTGATATTTAAACAATGTGATGCTAGGCAACTTTTTAATCACCTTGTAAAAAATAAAATTTTTTAAATGGTTAACTAATCAAAGAATATTTGTGATAATGTTTATAATTTTGAGAATTTTTGTATACGATTATTGTATGTGTCTGCAACATATAAATTAAGATTTGTATCGAATGCGATACTTCTTGGATTGTTCAATAGATTACTACTATTACCAGCAGTAGTATTACCTACAATTGTAATTCCATCTGTTGAATTTGGATAAAACATTTGAATACGATTATTTCCTGTGTCGGCAACGTATAAATTACCGTAAGGATCAAATATTATACCTCTTGGATTATTCAATAATGTTGAATTTGATCCTAATATGCCACTAATACCAGCAATTGTTGTCCCATTGGAACTATTTAATATCCATTTTGATATTGAATTACGACCGGGATTTGATATATACATAATATTATTATTAACATCTAAACAGAAACCAGATGGATTATTTAATTGTGAATTCAAATTTCCTGCACCATTTTCACCAGCAACAACTGAACCAGTAGTTGAATTTGGACTAAATTTCATAACACGTTGGTTATAATAATCTGTTAAATAAACATTGCCATTTAAATCAAGTCGGAGATTATAAGGTGTCGATAAAAGAGTATTACTTGAACCATTAGTACCATTTCCGGCTATTGTGATACCACTAGTCGAATTATAAGGCCAATATTGTATACGATAATTTTGATTATCAGCAATAT